AAGGTATCAGGATACCAGAACCGTGTCCGTTCCCGGTGGGAAACAACTTGACAGGTTAACAAGATATCCCCAAACGAGTTCTGATTGATCCCCTATTATAGAAGGTATCAAAACCATGTTACTATGATGTACATCTCATCAAACTAGTAGCCAATTGCAATTGAGACATTTACAAAAAAGTTCGTAACGACATGATCCTACAACTGTCACCCCACCTTACTGGCTTATTCAATTTTTTTTTACCTGGAACGGACATTGCTTTGATATCCTGCCTCTGATGCAGAATATCAAAGCTGTGTCCCTTCCAAGTGAAAAAAATCAATAAGACAGTAACTACGAGCAACTGAAACATTTTAAAAAGAGGTGGTTGATCCCCCAATGAAACATCAACATCAAAAGACGTCCTACCATAATACACAACTCAGCAAACTAGAAATTATTATATTTGTGCTGTCATGCTAGACCCCGCGAGACAGAAACGAAAATTGGGTACGGGCACTCGGCTCTTACCGTAACCCCTGGATTATCCACCGCTCACCCCCGTGTCCTTGTCCAAGGCCCCTTTTCGACACGTCGTATATGTGACGGATGGGTATTTGCGTAGCAAAATGGGGTCATGCCTTGCCGGGCTACTGTAAGAGCCGAGTGCCATACTGTATTTTCGTTTCTGTCCCTGCAGGAACATCACTGACTGACGGCATCGGTCGAGGAAATCGTTTGTAATGTATTTTGTGAACAGCACAGAGTACACGTCAAAATCATCCAGATGCCGCCCTCCGTTGCAACTTGCTGGAAATGGTGGTAATAACTAAATTAACAATGAAAGTTTTCCTCAACCGAAAATTGTTGTGGTGTTATTAAACTGTTACTATCAATATTCTAACGCGAAGAATTCTCAATTGGATGAAAAAAGAAACATCTTTTACCTTACAGACTTCAGTAGCTTCACACGCTCTCTTGGAATATAACCGTCTTTTCGATCTCAAGGAACGCGTACACCGGACTTGTCCCATCTGCAATAAATCGATTATAATTCACTCGTACATTGTGCACTGTAACGTTGGGATACCAATTTGGAGAATCCAGAAAAAAAGTAAGTAAAAAAGAGCGGTTTTCGCCAAGCATCCGGGGGTTCTGGTAACGTGTGTTTCAAAGATTTGCAGAGTAAAAAAAACAGCCGAAGGAAGAACTCGATACCTTGATACGATCATATAGGTCGGCACCGTATCAACCCGAGAAAAAATACGCTCCCCACAGCCGTCTTCACCCGAATTGAAAATGAATTCATGCGTTTTTACAGCAAGCTGGTCCTAGCAAACCAAATAACCAGTCAATCTACAAGGCATGTCCCACAAACGTCGAAATGGAAACCCGCCTGCCTTCAACGGGAAGTGACGGAAAACCAAAATGGAACTGTAACTGTGGGACGACATTGTTGGGGATGAGAAGTTACTAGTTCGAAGTTCTAAGACTGCTTCTTTAGAAAGTCAAAGTAGGAATCATAGTGGAATCAGTACGGAAAAATTCATTCCTCGTCGAGAATATCCTTTGCAAGTTAAGTATTACACACTTTGTAATTCTGTTTGGATGCATATTGTCATATGTCAAGACAGACACAAAAATCAAGTCAAAACATGCATATTTTTAGTTTTGAAAAATCGTAATATTTTTATATAAGAAACAAGGGAACTAATCCGAGGACTACTCACTTCCGATCCCTCGAACGAAGCCTCAACATGCGTTTTCGCCAGCAACAGATTCCACGCATCCGGAATTACAAGGTTGGGGAGACGTCACCTGAAACTACTGTTATGTGGCTTTTAATGCTTTGCTCTTCCGACCCTCATGAACTTCTGAGTTTCAACAAAGGACAGATCAGAGAGATCCACACAAACACTACAAAAAGCTCATTTTTGAAATCAGGTAATACGAAGAAGAGCAAGTGATTGAGAATTGAATGTTAAAACGTATATCGATAGTAAATATGAAAAGTGAGCTAGTAGAGCGGATATGTCCAGACATGAGTTCAGGTCTTTGCTGGGATAAATATCACAAAAAAGATGACATCACTTACAAAGACCTCCTATTCATATGATTGCTCTTACAAAGGTCAACACTGACAAGTGCACAAAGGAACGACGTATGTCGGGTGGGCTACTAATTCAGTGTACTGTCGCGATCTGCCGCTATTGCCAGGGACGAATACGAAAAAACTTGCACATCACATTCAACGGCTATTGTAATCATACCTCTTGCAGGCGTTTATGACCCCACGGTGGTGTTCATGCACATCTGCCCTTTTCATACTATGAAACTTTACTATGAAGCATGAGCAAAGACGCCGAGTTTGAACTGAGTAAAAAAATGTACAGCTAAACTTTTTTAGCATAGTACCGATGGAACAGCACTCGAATTGGTCACATATGAACCTGGGATATAACCCAGGTCCCACTCCAATGAATCGGAACTGAATCCGTTTAGTCGCAAGTCAAGCTGTACCAGCTCAGACTGCGTTAATCTGTAGGCTTTCAGCTACGGAAAAATAGCTTGGTCTTGATGCTATCCTTCCATGTACTTACGAGGCCATGTCTCAAAGAGCCATTTTAGTACCATGTTATATTTCTTTGTGTTTTCCAATCACGGAACAAAACTGCAATCCCGCTCGACTTGTGAGAAATTCAGGAGATATCAGCAGCAAATACGATTTAAGAGTTGTTATCGAATTGTGACAAACAAAAAAAAAACATGCGAATACATTTCACACAAGCCAAATAATTACATAAAAGCTAAAATTAGGTAATGTAAAAGAAAGTGACCACCACAACGTAACTACGACCGTTTTCATTCCGCATGGAGCCCGCCATCTCCCCTTTAAATGCGACCTTTCGAGCATGGAATTGGAGCGCGCCAGCCGATGTTGCGAGATTCGTGGTTTCCGATGTTTTCGATTTCTAACTCTCGTGAACAGCAAGTTTTAAGTATGCAGATATGTTCATAATGTGACTCCTGCCTTACCGAAAGACAGCGGTCAGTACGACAGGTGGTCAATACGACAAATAAGTGTAGATGAGGAATGAGAGGGTAAAGACACTTAGTGAAAAGCCTGATGGAACTCCTTTGACAAACAAAGTAGTGAGACGCGTTTGGGAGAGCGAGTAGGATTTAACGTTCAGAAACGTCCTTCATTTTTATATCTCTCCGAAAACATCGCATGTTGCTCTAATGAGTGTGATATCAGCTGTAGTAGTGCCGGTCTGATTCAATTGTAAACGGAGTAGACGTCTGGATGTGGTCCTTCCTTAATTTTTGCTTACAACAAAGGCGTACCAACACCTTACTGAAGATAAGCGTCGCAAGAAGCCGCTACGATCCCTTTTGTTATCCTCTAACTCATGAGCTTATGAAAATGAGAGCGTATGAAGACTAGGATACTCCACCGTTAAAGGCACCTTTTACGATAAATTTAGGGTACCCTTTTTTGACGGAAATTCATAGAACTACTCTAGAATAAAGCGATAAAACGAAAAAAGCGCAAACAACGATGAAGAAAAAGAAATAGAAAGGGTCAAAAAAGAGCTGGAAAGGGGGTTGGACGAGTTTTACATTGCAAGAACGGTGGTAAAGGGAGTGTTCGGGCGAGTGCACGTAGGCGACGCAATGTCTGCAATAGCAAACAACACACCCAAGCAGACAACTTCGCCCCATGCGAAAGTGATGAACGGCAATTAGATTTCGTAGTCAGCCTAGCGAGGGGCGGAGGCCTCCCGTCCCCCACTGTTCCTGCCCTTATTGTGCCCTATCCAGACCGTTTTCCGACCTCATTCCTGCACAAATGGTATCAGAGGGGGCGTCGAATTCAAACCATGTGCAGATCTCCGAAGCCATTTTTTTCGTGAACAGTGCCTTTAAGTTACAACAGGAAAAGAAACTTTATGGTAAAGAGAAGGTACTCAAGCAGAACTCGTGCCTATTTTCTGGGTTCAGATAGAGCGATAACCAAAGAAAAATGTGGATGATAAAACCCTGTTGCAAAATCTACACATATTATTACAATAAGAAGAAAAAACTATCAAAACGGTGAAAAACGGACAAGAACCGTATCAATTAGTAGATTTCAGAATTAAGAAGGGCCAAAAAACCAAAAAAAAAAACAAAACCAATAAAAATAAAAAATAAAACCAAAAACAACGCTAAAAGATGCTGTAAATAGGAGGTGGAGACAAGAATAACGAACCTTGCGAGCCAGATTAGTGCTAGGGACAAGAAGCTTCTGCGCAACTTCTTCATCACTGAGCTCGAAAGGTGGTATGTGAAAGATATCGGAACGATAAATGATCTCGAGTAGTAGAATGTTTCAAGTTGAGATTGGTCAGTCCTTTTCCGAAGTCCGGCGGGTAATAAGTGGTGTGCCCCGAGGAGGTGTGCTGTCACCAGTGCTTTTCAATGATTAAAACTAGGATCAGAGTAGAAAATATTCGGGAACCCAGTTGCGTGCTCACAGGTCGTATGTACGACCTCTGGTCGAATCCAGCACTACGGTTTTCAACAACAAGAAAAGGAATTATGTCTACGCGCTTGAAAAAGTTCAGAATAAGTTTACTCCAAAGCTGCTCATTCGAATTGGTGGTTTTTTGTACTCCAACATAGCAAAGGCAGCTATCAGGAATCAGTATCTTGGACTGTAATCCTTAAAAACGCGACGCAGGGTTTTCGGCCTTTGTATGGTTTACAAACTTGTACACGGCTCGTGTGGTCATGGTTCCAATGTCTTCAGGCTGACACATTCGAGGACTAGGGGTGGCTCCACGAAGATTTTTTTGGCACGTCCTCAAAATCCTTCGTTAATTATCAGCTTGTTTCCAGCAATCCCCACCTTCCAGGAATGTACATGGTTCGAGTAAGAGAGAAGACAGTGATACGTGTCTTTTGTTTGTTTTTTTTTGTTTTGTTTGTTTTGTTCTGTGTTTTTTTCTTTCTTCGCTTTTCCTTTTATCACACATCTACGACATTAAGTTAATGTCCTTCTAAATTTTTGTACCTTACGCGTACCTTACGCGATTGGTGAAGATCTTAAGACCGGATGATAGTGATGTGGTACTTCTACAAGATCTCGAGCAATTTGAAATAAGGGTGGGTCTGAAGCTGAATTGTTAGGGCTAGGGAATACCTAACATCCGAAAATTCGGTTTCAGATTCCATATATGTATATATACATATTTCATGTTCTCTGGGAGTGGTGTTATCCCTAGCGCCATCCGCCTATTGAGTTCCTTTCGCCCGATCTTGAGTTAACTACTTCTTATTAATCTAAACAAATCTTAACCAAACGATGGAAGGTTGGCTCGATTATGTCGTTGATGTTTTACTTCGTTGTTTCATTAGGGCGCACCTCTGCGTGCATCAAAATAAAATAAAATAAAATAAAACTAACTTGCGAACGAGAAGCTTTACCTTCAGGGCTGGCAGTGATTATCTAAGAGAGGTGAAAATATTCCCGTTTCTTCATCGCTAGCTTAGTTCAAACGGCAAGTAGTTAAGTTGCTGCTGAAGGGAACTTGTTCTAACGTCTCCTGAGACATTAATTAATCTTTGTACTGCGTATTGGTTGCCTGTACAAATGTTCGATATTTACATTGCCTTTTGTTTTCTTTCTCACGTTTGCCTTCCGCAGGCGTAATAAACTTATAACTTGTAGGATTAATGGACCCTGATTTTTTTGTCCTGTTTTTTTTTGCAGGACTTGCCAGAGAAATAGAAGCTAGGCGCGTGTCTGAGTGAGGGGTCTCGCAGAATCCAAATCCAAAGCATTAGAAATAATTAGGTAACATTATATTGTGCTATTATAATATTAATAACAAATAAAATTAGGCTGCCATTATCAAACAAAGGACTTCTTTGAGTTGCAATACATAGTAACAGATTACAACCAGCACTCTCAGAAAGTCACAAGGTGCTGTGAAGAGAAGAACGGAAAACCAGCTCTGAGGCCTGTCATCGATAAGGAAAATGGGAGTGTAGTGCCAAGCTTAAGAGAAGCGGTCATGTGAGGCCTCTGAGAGGAACTGGCGAGATATGGTCGAGAAGGATCTCGTCGATGCTAAAGTAAGTGCAGTATATGCCGTAGATGAAAGGTTAGATGGAAATGGAGACATCTTGCAAGAATACGCTCTGGATTGTTACAACGGGAAAGGAGTTCACACAGCCTTCTTCACTGAGCGTCTAAGATACAGAGGAATGTGAGATTCATCTCAATGCTGAATGATCTCCGCACTTGATGCTCCATGATACAGCACCTCTTCTCAGTATTTCACCGACTACATAGCTACGACTAGTCCCTGTTAATAGCCATATATGTACAGACCTACATACTGCGATCTACGTAGATAGACGTCAAGCGCTAGTGTCTAGCAACTCGTGTTCAAAGAGTGCCAACTTGGTCATTCTTGAACTACTTGTTATCTCGTCCTGGAATCCAATCAATGTTTTGGCTGAGTCCATCAGCTAACTACAACACTAGAGGCGAAACGACGATAGGAAGAGATGTGAAAGCATCCCAGCATCAATTGATATCCGCACTTTACCACTACGTAATACAAACCTCTCTTAGATTTCCATAGCATAGCAGTTACTTGGTCCTCCAGCCAACGAGATCGGTCTACATACCGTTGTCTACATAGATTGACGTCAAGAGTCAGCGTGTCCTCATCAGACAATCTTCGTTAACTTTAAGTTGTAACCAAGACCAGAATTAGAGTTTTCGACTTTCCCCGTCACGGACGTTAGTGAATAATTTTAA